CTTGCTCTGAAACAAATGGAGGGTGCTCCTAGACCTTTGGGGCGCAGGGGAGCGTAGGGGAGCTGAGGGTGCCTTCTGGTGCAGTGTTGTGCACTGAAACGCGCTGGAAACATTTGTGTCTCCAGTTTTTTTCCATGACTTAGTGGGGAGGCAGTCACTTGGACCTGATAGACAGCGATTCCTGAAACTGCTCTGTTACAGTTGCCTCTGACTAAGCCCTAAATAAAGCCAAGCTTTTATCAGGGCAAATGCTTTCGTGTGGGATGGGTAGGACTGCAGGTTGAGAGGTATGGGGAGAGCTGAGTTTAAACCTCACCAAATCACCTCTTTATGGGTTCATACATTAGAAGAGTTGATAGAATGAACAATTACAAGAGTGAAAATGCTTAATGTAAAAAAAAAAAACCCTAAAAAATACTACATGGACTAAAGCAAAACAAAATCCAGAGCCCACCCTGCATTTTAAAGATCTATATTAAAAAAAAAAAGCACAGACTTTGTTTGAAGCTTAGCGATTTCCATCACTAGTTCATGCCTCTTAGTAGCAGGATTCTGGCATTTGTGTGATAAGATGAAGGCAGTAGAATGCAATTTTAATTTGTGACAAATGAGCTTTTCATTATTTCAGATTATTTCTGCTTTGAAACATAGGGTTAATGAGCATATGTCAAAGCTCTGTAGTTTAGTGCAACTACTACAGTTCATCCAATTTAGAGAGACAAAAAGAAATAAAAGGGAAGTGGAATTAGCACAAGGAAATTATACAGACGTGCAAATGAGAGCTTCTGAATGCTTAGTGTGAAATTTCTCTTCAAGGTTCATGCAGATCCTCGAGGGATGGAGCATTTTGAAATGATTAGCTCCTCACATAGTAAAGCCTTCTTCCTTACAGTCATGGCAACGACTCAGAAGCTCCTCTCTTTTCTCATCTCCTGTACCTTGGCAACAGGAGAGCTGCAGGTTTTTAAGTTTCCTTTGGTTGGCTCTTCAGCTGCCCGATACAGCTTTTGAGTTAAGGTAACTTTCACAAATGTAATGACCCATTTTAACTGATGAGAAAGGAGAGCTGCAAACTGAGAAATCAGGTAATGACCTGGCTTGGTTACTCTTACCCCTCAGGCCTTGGGATGCATCAAGAGAGATGAATTTTCCCTGGTTTGGAGCCACCCTTGCTGGCAAAAAGGAAACAAATTGGCTCCGTTAATACTTAAAAGTGGAACAAGATAAAATCTTCATTTTTCCTAGAACTTTATAGTACAGAGTCAGGGGTTTATTTTGTTTTGCTTTTATTTTCTTAATTGTATATTCCTTTCTTCACTGTTTTCCCAGTATCTATGATTTTACAATCAGTTTCTTCTAACTGTTGTTTGCATGGTCATTCTAAGTAGCAGCCTCTCTTTAATTCTGAAATTTATTTGGGCCTAGTGGGTGGTAGAGTGCTTGTATTTCCATGTAGAGTTAGCTACTGTGTTAACTAAATGGAGACATAAACATAATTAGAAAACTGTTGGGCGGTTGCCCCATTAAGTATACACGTCTGTGAGCCAAGCGAAGCATCCATGTCATCTTCTGGGATGAGTATTCTTCTGGATTCCTGATGCAAAATGTGTATTAAAATTTTACCACTTGTCTTGGGTGTGAAGTTTCAACAGTTGAAAGACAGTTATCTGGCATCTACAAAATAAGTAGGGAGCATAGCTGGAGCAGGAGGCTCATTTTTGGTATAAAGTAAAAAATTTTTTCTTACTATTTGGAGAAAGTGTCTTGTGGATGAAGGACATCGTACAGAGATGCGGTGTTCGCTTACGTGGTCCCAACCTGACTGAAGAAAAGGAGGATTTCTCAGAGCTGTCCTACCACACTCTGGAGGGAAGAGCTTTCCACAATTCGCCTTCTTAGGACTGTCACTGCGTCCTTCTGAGAAGATACTGCAGTAGATTTTAAACATAATCTTTTTTCTGTCAGTGGCTTTCAGATCACCTGGCTAACAAATTAAGGTGGCATTTTTCCTTTACTTTCTTGCATATACGTCTTAGTCAGCAGATTAAAGCAATTTAAATGATTTCCGGCTTAGTGTCAGAGGAGTACGCAGGGAGAAGTTAACTGCTTGTTGAGGGCGGTTTGAGACAAGAACAGCCAGGAGAGCCTGGAGCCCATTGTCTGTATGAGACATCAGGAAACAGGTGTTACCTCCTGCACGTCCAGGTGTCTTGACCATCCCCTCCTCCCTCAGAAATGACAGGAGGCAAATGCTGTGGAGGAAGTTTCTGAAGAACTAGACAGTTTTGCATTCCAAGCCTTCAAGTCTGACATCTTCCACAAGCTCTTACACTCGCAGAGCAAAATCAGGTTTGTTGAGGTATGTTTCTCATCAGTCTTTGCAGTTGGAACAAAGACTTCAAAGACTGGCCTCGTTTGTGTGGTCAGTGCCGAATGTACCTTCAGTACTGAGGATCTGCTCCTTCCCCATAAACCTCAAGCCTTTTTCTCCTGCTTTGGGCAGGATGCTGCTTAAAAAAAGTCCCTGAAATGTGCTTGGCAGTGTGAGATTTGGCAAGAACATTGACTGCTTTGAATACGTCAGATAGTCTCAGACAGAATTTCTAGATCAACTGCATGACTGAAACTGGGGTTTATTACTGATTGAATGCAAACCCTCTTATTTGTGTCTACTAAAAACACCATAAAAGGTGATGGTAATGTTGCTAAGGAGCTGTTTACCTGCTAAATCTGTCTGTGTGATGCACGAGGTGACCATGGGAACCAATTTGGTGCCAATTAATTAAAGAAAACCTTGCAGTGAAATGATTATTGTATGAGTACTAAATATTTCTGCAGTTGCATCTGCAAAGCTTGTTTCTGGAAGAAGGTATAATAACTAGAAATCCATTTGGAGAACAGGGTCAGCATGGGTCCTGCATAAAAAATACATTACTGGAGCTGGGTTTTTTGATGTATATTTTAGAAATTGTGTTTTGAAAATAAATAGAAAATCTCTATTGGGTTATCAACTTTTTGCAATTTTAAAATGGTTTGGTATGTATTCCTAGGGGACTCAGTCTTTTCCCTGATTTCTTTTTTTCTTAAAAAATTAATTACAGGTTGCTGTATTCCCCCCAGAGAACTTATTATCTATGTCTCTCTCTCCAAAGAGTGCGTGGTTCTCAAGAGATAAAGTGCCGTAGGCTAAAAGCTGCTGATTCCATTTCTGATTAATAAAGAAATTTTTTAAACTTATTTTTATCCTTACTGGCATTTTTCGTGGGTGATAACTAATAGCGCTACGTTAGGATCAAGGCTGTTACAATATTGTCTTGTAAAGGAAGCATATGCTACACAAATGGTTCTGCAGGGGCTGAATTTTGCTTTAAAGGTTATGTACAAAGGTTATTTTCAAGCATATATGTCCAATTTAAAGAACTTTTTTTAAATTTGCTGTAAACATTGAGACTGTAAGAAAATCTCCTATTGCTTGAAACATTTTTTATGGAATATATTTACTTACAAGTTGCCCTCACGATGCTACCAAAATACATGTCCTACTGGCATTTTACCAGAAACCCATTATGGTACCATTACTATTTCAATCCAGTATTGGATTGCATGGAAGATCTCAGATAATAGCTGCTGTAAAAATGCATTAGAATTTGTTTGTTTTTCCTCTTACGGCCCAGCTGACAACTGTCATCTGTATCTGCGTAGAGTAATTAAGAAGGAATCATTCTAAAGAATTGATAATGGCAGGTAGAGTTTGTTTGGAGAACTGAGAGACATTTCAGTGTGAGTAAAGGGGGATGAGAATTAACGGCATTTCACATGAGAAACTCTAGAAAACTGAAGTTCTGTATGGCTCCGGATGAGTGCTTCTGTGGATCTGCTTTTAAAAAGAGATTACGTCATCCTTAAATGATTGGAATCAGCCTTGCCTTGTGTTTTCTGCTTATAAGTCACTTGAGGTTGCATGACTCAGTCTCACTCCATCTCCCAGCTCAGGAGTGATGTCACACCGATGCCAAGTGAATCAGTGTCTTGCAGAAAGAGGCTTCGAGTCTTGTGAGTGTTCCGTCACAGTCACTGCGACTCATGCTGGGGCTTGACTTGCAAGCACACACAAAAATAAGGATGTTTTCAAGGCCTGAAACAACTCAGTTTAGTCAGATGTGCTCCTTTGTAGCACTGGGATATATTTATGCACACAATCCATAGTGAGGCTGGAAATGGTGTAAGTATAGAAAAGAGGCTGTTTCCGTGCTTGTGTTTGTACATCTGCAGGGGTTTTAGTATTGCCGAGAAGAGAATCCGTACCGAAACGGTGGAAGGGTATTAGGTAGACAGTAAAGTTTTTCAGAAGGTACCATTTGATTGCCCTGGGTCATAAACTCAAACAAATAGTTTTAATTTGCACTGTAAAAGCAAATTGAAGTTGGCAATATTTTTAGCATCTTTGAAAAAAATAAATTTGAAAACAAGTTGTCTTTTATTTTGCCTATGGTCCAGTGCCTTGTGGGGTCAGTCCCTTTTCTAGTTCCACATGGTGAAGAGAACCAAATGCTGTGCAGTTAGCTTCCATGTGCTCCCTTTGAAACAATGGAGCAGACAAGCCAGATCCTTTCTTACTCTGGGAAATGAACTTTTTTGAGTGTTAGAAGCCCCCTTTGGAGCAGGATTATGATACACTGCTGAAACTAAGGTACTGGACAGTCTGTGAGCTTACCTGCTCTACTGGGAGCTCACATGATCTGTGCTAGTGTTCAACACTTCTTTGTGCGAATTGAAAGGTCTGGGTTTAATTTATTTAACACCATGTGTTTCTCTCCAATATACTTTAAAAGAGGTTTACTGGGTTTTTTTTTTCTGTAAACAGAGTCTCATTCCTCTTGAAGTCCTGCATGACTGTTTCTTTGTAAGGCACAAATAAAAAGTGATTCTTGTAAACAGTGTAATGACCAATTTGATTGTTTAAAGGTATTGCTTAATTAATACTGCGGTTTGTCTTTCAGACACCCCGAACATGTGAAAACTTTATCAAATTGTGCAAGAAGAACTATTACGATGGAACAATTTTTCACAGATCAATTCGTAATTTTGTGGTGAGTATTGAACAAATCCTTTGTAATGCACAATAGGTGATGTCTTCAAGATATTTGTTTAGCTTAATTCAGTTTTAGTTTCTCTCATGCTTGACAACTTGCAATAGATGTAAATTAAATACACCAACTAATATTGTCCTGACTTACTAAATTTGTACTTACTAGTCTTACTAACAACTGTATCTGACTAATATTGTCACTTGGAGCATCACTATGTTTAGTAGTGCTTTTGCGGGTGTTACAGACAAAGCCTCTGAGAGTCATTGCCTCGGCAAGGCTCTTGTCATGTTCCCCAAGCTGTGAGTGGGTGGTTAATGAACAGAAAGGGGCAGAGGGGGAGAGAAAGAGGGGAAAATGCTAATTTGGTTAAGTAATACTGTGGCCTGTTGAAATCCCATTCAGATGAAACTTTAGAAAGCAGATTGTGTCAGGCTGAGGGACGTGGATGCTCTCAGGTCATCCTTTCCTGAGTGTGCTCCAGGACTAGGTGCCTGGGCTTCCTTTGTGAAGGTGTTACAGAGCACACAGGGAACCAGAAAGTTTCCCTCGGTGGTCAAAAACCTTTATTTACATAAGTATGATCCAGGCAGCTTAGGATATTGTAGCTGTTCCCTAACTTCCTTTCAGAAGAATCAAGAGCCTGATTGGGAAGGCAGAGCACATCTTTTGGGGCACACCACTGAATGTTACATTCCATCTTGTCATACCATAAAAAGCATTTTTTTTTTCTTCTGACAGCACTGTATATGTCAGAGTTAAACTCACAATTAAAACTGTGCTTGTGTGCTATTACTGTGAAACTAGTCATGTCACGCTCCCTCTACTGGCATTGGAATACGAACTATTATTTCTGTGGATCCTGCATGTTTATACAATGATTAATTTTGTTACTGAAAGATTAGTTTCACATGAAGATTTTCCCCACTGCAGATAGTGAGGGGGATACTGGGAAATACAGACTCAGATACAGTAAATATTCCATATTCCCTCATTTCTTGCCTTCCCATGGTGTGAAGGATTGTTAGCAAAATGTAAAGTTTTTTTCAGTTCCAAAAACAATGCATCATCAGTTAAAAAGCAGGTTATGACTCAGCACATAATAGAAAGGATGATCTGGTTGACCCATTTGAGACTATTTATTTTTCCTGTTTACCCACAAGAGACCTGTTGTTTTTATGAAAGTGTCATTCTGCTCTTGGGTAAGTAACGTGGGAAATGACGGCCAGGTGATAAAAGAAACTCCAAATAAATACTAATGGTTTCCTTGTTGGTAACTTGTCAACGTGGCACAATAGAGAAGGAAGAAATCTGACCAGAATCAGCCTCTATGGCTTGTATTTCATGTCTTTCTCACACACACATGTATATGTAACCTATTGATTTAATTTTAATTCTGCAGATCCAAGGAGGTGATCCAACTGGAACGGGGACAGGTAAGGTTGAGTTTGAATCAAGTAAACTGTTTTTACTTCATGTGTTTTGTTTTTATATTTATTTCCAAATATCTTGCAGATTAAAATTCTCTAGATGATGATATGTGGTACATAGTGTTTCTACTTTAAAACAGAGATTTTTATCATTATATTTCTATGTTCATTTTAACTGTGCTCAAAATTTCATCTGATATATTCTCAGGCTAAAACTTGGCCACTCTTCTGTGCAGAATTCTTGTTGGGTCTTTTTTTTCCCGGGAAATAAATAAATGAAAATTATAATGATTTTACAGCTGACCTTCCAGGGCAAAGAACAAAGGAAGAAATACATTCATTCAAAGTTGCTTTCAAATTCAGTGTTAATGAAATGCTCGAGACCTGCCTCAGAATTGGTGAATGGCCAGATACCATCTGTTCTCCCAGCTAGTTGCCTTGTAAAGCCCAAGCTGCTCTTTTTCTAAGTTTCAGAAAAGTTAGAAAATACTGTTGATAGCTAGGAAATGGAAAGAATTACCCAGCCTGTTCTTCCAGTCTCTGTGTCCCAATGCCAGGCAGGGAATTCTACAGCCACGGTCAATGCCTATGGACAAATTTAAAACCAGGTGCTTTATGAAGCTGTGCGACACTGAGATGCACTGTTCTGAGGTGGTTGGCTCTGAGAAAAAAATTAATGGTCACTGTTACTAAATTCTTTTGCTTGTTTTTTCTCCCTTAGTTGGAGATCAGCGTATGAGTAGTATCAGAAATGAGGAGGAGCCATAGCAGCTGAGGGGTCCTCAGAGCATTGCCCGCCACAGTAGATTTGTCATGTGCTGTCTCTAGTTGCTGCTGTACATTTGCTCATTTTCCACTTGCACCTTTTATCTGCCCACTTGTAGATGTCACCAGCCTCCACAGCTCCTCACCTGCTCCTGTGGGGCTATGTGTATTTTTATTCTAGTTCACGCATGTGTCACTGGTATATGCAAGCACTTTATTCTTCTGTGTCTGCTTATAGGTCATCTCAAAAACATGTCTTGGTAGTTGTTAAATACTCCAGCTCTATTTACTTTGTACAGAATGTGCGAGTTGCCTCCCAGTTTTTCTCCTACTGCATGCAATAATCAACAGTTGCACACTCAAAGATTTGAGACGAGTTAAAGGTTCTGCATTTTGATGGCAGAAGTCCATTAACAAGACTTGTTACTGTATATGCTTGGACTGTCAAAAGAAATGTGATTTGATTTTGTTACAAGGAAAGTTTTGGTTCAAATCCCAAAAGACATAATTAGGAACATCTTTTAAAATGAGAAATTAAAGAGATGTCAGGAGATGGTAGAAATTTAATGAGTTGACTGAGACACCTTTCACCCTTTTAGGGTGGAGTTCAGATCCTGCTGTGGAATGAAAATTAACTTGCTGATGTTGTTCTTGTCTCTGTTTGTGCAAATGGTACAAGTATTGTAGGACAGCACAATTAACAGTTGGCAGAGGACTGGCAGTGCAGCTGCGCTGAAGGTCAAGGCTCAGCTCTACTGGCAAAGCAAGTAGGAAGTAAAATGCAAACAAGACCATAGGAGAAAACGCTTCCTGTGTATATTCTTTTATTTTTAAAAAGGAGTCTAATGACCACTAATTTGTTCCATATTGTTTTCATCCTTGTTGTTCTTAATTAAATACAAATATGTTGCAGGTGAGATGTTTGCAAACATCTGTCAAGACTATTAAAGTTCCAATAAAATGGACAGTGTGTACTCCCAGTAGTTATGAGGGTTGCAGCTTTTTAGAGTCTTTGCGATCATTGTAGAGACCGAATGATGCAACTGAGTAGCTTTTTCCCACTATTTAGTTTCTGACATCGATCCCATGTTCCGCAGCAGGTGTCAGGTTTATGGTTGTAACACCCAAACGCTTAGATGATCGCCCACTCCATTGCTAGTCAAGCCCTGGGCTGTTCAGCTTCTTGGTGGATTTGGGCACATTCAGCACAACATGACATAAGGTTACGTGTCACATGTTCATAGACTCCAACTGTGCTCTCGGCTCACCGGGATAAGGGTGTTGGGCTTTGGGAGCACATGGCAGATGTGAAGTGCCCAGCTGGTTGTCACTGACCGACAGCTTCCACGGCTGCTCCAGCGGAACAGCCCTATCTGTACGCAGCGCTAATTCTGATTTCTTTTTCATTTGTTATGAAGCACCCTAGTGTGTCCTTTCTGAGCCTCTTGCTGGGCTGTCATAAAAATAACTGTGACCCAGCAGACACATGAAGGACAACTGATTCCTGGTACTTGGCAGTTAATTTCCAGCCTCCTCCATCTCGAAGTCATCGTTGTGCCACCTGGCAGTTGAAACACCACACTGGGAAAAGAGTGGGGAATAGAGTTTTACCTTAGCTTAGCTGGCAGACCTGCACTGCCAGAGCAGTTAGATAGACGGTCCTGGGAGGCTGGCACTGATTTAGAGAACCAAACTAATTTTCTACAGCTTTCAACTTAATGTTTCATAAGACCACTGGGAGAAATTTTATTGTGCTGCAGCAGCTTATTTCTCTCCTAACAAAATAACCACCCATAGAGGTAGTATCTAGAATAATAAGCTGAGTCATGGTCATTCTTTGTAATGATTAATTATTTGAAAATGAATTTTAGATTTATGAGGTATCTCTTTTCCTGGTGTTCATAACAGCTAAGTGGTTGAACATTGTGAGTAATTCTCTCTAACTCATGCTAGTGCAAGTGGAGCAGCTGCTCGGTATTTTCAGTGTTCCAAAAAATAGAAGATTTGCATGTGGGAGAAATAGGTTTAATATCCTAATATCCTAAACCCTTTATATGCAAAGCATTACATTTTCAAAGTGACACAGGCATTTTAATCGACTTGTGTGTGCTTCTGTCCATTTATGAATGCAGGGAGGCCCCAAAGTGGCATATAATAGCTGTGAAAGTCCACCATAAAACACCACTGCTGGATGAGAATTGCGTTTTGGATGGTGTCGAGACAAGCAAAGCACTTTTCCCTTCCTTTGAACTGTCAGTAGCAAAAGGACTGTGGGCAGACTTGGTCGGTTCTGCAGTATGATCCACCTAAGGAGGCAGGTTCCTAAAATGTGACCAGTTTAGAGCCCCTTTTCTGGCACGTTCCAAGCTCAGCAGAAGGACAAGAGCAAGACCTTTGTATCTAGCAGTATACTCCTTTTAGACTGCAGCTCTTCTGAAAATCCAACATCTGTATGTGAGGTTAAAAGTACCGTGTCCTCTTGTCGGAAGGGAGAGAAGCACTTACTGGCTGAGCTAAGGCTTTCGTATTTGCAAAATGATTCCAGAATCTCACTTGGTAAGCTCTATGGAAGTGTCAGATGTTATTATGTACCTCGTTGTTCCAAATGACAAGAAGAAAATTACAGAAAGTAAGCCATCATTTTTGTGAATCAGAGCCCTCCCACTTCCTTACTGATGCTTAGCGATTTTTATGCCAGAAAAAGGAAGGATTTATTTAAAATCACAACTGTCATGCATGATAATTCCAAGCCCACACCTGGCTTTTGGAATGCTACATTTCTGAAGCTTTAGGTGCATTTTTTAGCTCTTTACAAGAAAGTTGTACAACTTGTGTAATTTTACCCAAAAAAAATACTTTCTGAAAAAAAAAACACTTTTAGAAGGAACAAAAACTACCAAAGAGTAAGCTGGTTTAGTTGAAAAGACAATCTGAAAATGTGGTTTTTCCTTTTTTTTTTTTTTTTGAACAGTTGCTGATGTGTGATTGCTTCAGATGTCAGTTTAGATCTATTCACCTTGTCACTATCAGCACAAGATGCAGATAGGAGACGGAATAACTAACCCTTCTTCAGTTACAAGCTAAATATATCTTACCACTCCGGATAGCCATGGAAATGATTCACACAGACTAATTTTTTTCTATGAGCTATGTGGTCTGTTTGGTTTCATCTCTGTGTGAGAATTAGTTAAACACCTCTTTAATTTAAGAGATTTTTTCTCTTTTATTAGAATTATGGGCAAGTGGCTCCCAGCTGCCTTCAGCTTTGAGTCTTGGGCACCTGGGTAGGCTTGTGATTTTTATTTTACGGAATTGGGCAAAAATTCTGTCTGGCTCCTGAAGGTGTTGATGTTGTACAGGTTAAATGCTGTTAGAAGGTCGGTGTGTTTCTGTGGCCGATCCCGAGTACCTTTCCAGCGCTGTGCAAACAGGAGAGCCCCACGTGCGGGGTTGTAAGTACTGCTCCATCTCCTGCTGCCAGCGCCAATCCGGCCACGGCAGCACCCGCGTAGGGCCGTGTCTGCTGCCGTATGAACCCTCTCTGATTTTTAGCACAGAATTTTTTTCCAGCTCTTTTTGTAATAGGATCTCAGAAACATTTGCAAGTCCAGTAGGCACTCAGCTCTGCTGTGACAGAAGATAATCTGATCGGGGAGTAAGCTGAGAGGAAGGTGAAGTGACAGGCAGTGCTGCCTGCTGCGACTCTAACACCCAGAGGCAATTCTGGATTTCTATGGGCTTTGCTTGTAGGCTGGTGCATCAGCTTTGGGCTGAGCCTTTTGCATCATGGTGACTCCATATATAGTCAGTGGTGATCTGTGTACTCTCAGAGGAAGATGTGAAGGAGCCTCCTCTCTTTATTATAGCATATGCTGGGAGTGTAAACGAGAGAGCTAGAGCAGCAGTCCCACCTCCTTTGTCTGTCTGCATCCATTCCGCTTTCGCAAAATGAGCAAAACGGCACAGCCACACCTCTCAGCCTTGCCAGGAATAAATACAGTAAAATCTGCTAGGTAATTTCAGATGCCTCCTAGTTATTAGTAGTAAGTTTGGAGCCTCTGAGTTATTTTTCCACGTTTACATTGAGCTCTACCATAGAAAGCAAACTGTAAAGATCTTAAATCCCTGTTCCAGACCCTCCTGGCTGAGCATTGTGCTGTCATGGCAGTAAACTACCGAGGGATCTGTACTTAGTCTTTGGAGAGGAGGTGATTCTGGTTTTCAGTAATTAAACAATGTATAAGTTTAACTCACCATCTTCTGGCTTGCTCTGTGTGGTCCTGCTTCAGGCAGATACTTGAAGCCTGGAACCATTCCAAAGGTTAGCAGGACTTTGAAAAACAGCACGTTCAGGCTATTTTTAATTTAAGGAGAATACATTTGGGTTTTCCTCTTTTCTTCAAAGTATTTTTAAATTAAAATTTTGGGGTTTTTTCCTAAAAAAAACCCCAAAACACAACAAACCTCCAAACTGTTGCTGTACTGCTGTCTTTGCAGTGTCTCCACCGCCCCTTGCCAGTCCGTGCTGCCGGGCCTCCGCAGACACTTCAGCAATGGACGTCTGGCCTTTTAGGCGAATGCTGCACAGGCCGTTCTCTGTTCCCGCAGCAGCTCCCGGGCAGACAGAATTAGCCTGGGAAACAGCTGTACGGCAGGCAGAGAGGGAGGGAGGCAGCGGCTGGATACCAGGCTGTAACTATCTACTAAAATATGAGTGCGTATTTCCAGAGAACTGGAATGAACCAAAGTTAGCCTTCGTACATAGGAGATTAATTCTGACCTGCAGTGTATGATCTGGAATGAAATCATGCAAAAATAAATATTCCAAAACCTAAAGATCATGGCTCGTTGCTCCTGTCTGCAGGCTCTTGGGTCTGGTTGCCTGTTGTGCCAGAAAGAGAGAGTGTCTCTGTCATTCACAATTTTTCTCCTTCCTTTTGGATTATTTTTCTGACCAATGAAGGCTTCGGGGTTGATTCCACTCTCTTTCAGCTGCTTGACAGCGCTGTAATTCCAGCATCAGCTGAAAGCATAAGAAGGGTGTAACAGACTCAAGGGTTTGACCACTTGCTGCAGTGTACCAGCCGAGCTCACCGTTGCGTCTCATCTGAGCGTTTCTAGACAGCAAACACTTCTCTAGGTTCTCATAGCAAGTGCATCTGATGTGCAGATAATTAGGAGGTCCTTCAAAGTAAAATTCCATATTTCTCTAAGGGAGATCCAAGTGAAATTTGTTGCTCCAGCCACAGCTCCAAGCAGAAGTGCAGGGCCTGCAGCGGTGGCACAGCAGCGCGTGGTGGTGCAGGCAGGGAGCCCGTCCCCGGGGCTGCCCCAGCGAGCCCGATCCAAGTGGAACGGTGAAGCTGTGAAAGGCAAAGAGGAAAAGAGAAATAGTGCACAGAACATGGTGCTGTTGATGGGCAGGAATTTTGCAGGCTTTGCAGGGGTGTTTCTGGTTTCGAGGAGCATCTCTTGACGTGGAGCCTCACTATATTCGGAGCGTAACTTGTTAATGTACTAACCTACAAGAACCTGGGTTTTCTGGACAAGGTGAATTGCAGACAGTGCACAAGTAACCTCTCTTGGCAAGTAGGAACACACAAGCAAATTCGTTAACAATATAATTACTGGCTTCTGATAAGACATTTTCTAACAGGTTGAACACTTTGGATTTCGCTAGAATAGCTGGGCTTTGGATCTATCTTTAAGACAGTAGAGGTGACTGCAGCTGTGCCATATCTCTTTCACCCACTTTTGGAAGAGATTGGCATACGAGATCAAGCTGATGTCATTTAGCTCATCTTAAAATACTCAATAGCTGAAGATTGCTGAGGTAATCACTCCTTTACTCCTGATTACAGAAAATCCCTACAGAGTTTGTACCCTTTTGCTGCCTCTTGTCAAATTGCAGAGCAGGCAACACTCAAATCTATTAAAAGGTCTTTTGAACATGATTAATTGGGTTTTTAAGTGGGTCAGTTTCTTCCAAAATTTCTTACTCACTTAGTTCCACTTGCACTTGCAACCATCCACCTGCGATGCTTTGCTTTCATGGTATCATCTGAAACTCTTCTCATTTGATGCACTCTTGTGATTTTTTTCTGTGAAGTTTTCAGTAGGAGCCTGGTTTATTCCTATTTTATTTGCTGCTTGCCTGTGCAGTCGTATCATCAAATTGCTTTTCTGTATTACACGTGCAAAAAGCCGTTGAGCACTGCGGATCCTTTACTGGCCTCCTGCTTCACAAGTGGTGCAATTACTCTAGAGGATTCTTGAGCCCATTCTGCAGATAGACCAGTCTTGCTGCACGTTTGGATAGTTTTGTTTGTTTTATTTTTAATACTGTCCTAAGGTGAAATATCTTTTCATGGTTTGTCAAACAAGATTATGGATTTGACTGCAAAACTGTGACTCATCTCAACTTTTTTTTTTTTTCTTATTAAGAATGATCCTAGAAGAAAGTGCAAATGAAAATGTCAGATCTGTCATAAATAATATAAAAATGACAGTCAGGAGTAGAGGTCTCTCAGACCCTCTTTCTATCCAGAGAAACAGAAAATAGTTCTGTTTTGGAGGGCTAGATCTGCAGCTCATGCACAATTTTATCATCCTTTTGACTTCACTGCATTTAAGTGTTTGCGTTGTCCAGGTATCTAGGCCAAATAACTGCTTTTTGCCTTTTATTTGAGATGAATATGTATCGTCATTCTTCATTGTTTAGCCTGAAATTAAGCATTTGAGCTTATAGCTCCTGTTCTTAGTTGATTCTATGAATGTATTTCATCTCCCTGATACTTTATTTCCAGAAGCAATGCTATATCCAGAGTGCAATTAAACTAGTAATTCTTTGCTATGTTTTGTGAGAAAGCTACATTTAAAGATTTAATGTCTCAAAAAAGAAAAATTACAGTGGACCAGCAGTACAAAATTAAATTTGTCACAGTTCTTCAGCACACAGTATATAATGCTGTTAAAAAGCACTCCGGTCTGTTGCAGTTGATGGTGTGGGGGCACAGAATTGTGTTGCCAGTTACAAACACTGATTGCAAGGGCGTGCGCAGACACTGGCCCAGTGATAGGCATGAGGTAAAAATATCTATTATACGTGAAGTGATCAGAAGTGCCAGAAACCTTGAGTTTAATGTCAATGCCTGTTATAAAATGTAGTGGGAAACTACAGAAAACAAACATTTCTTCTGTTATCTTTTCTCTTTTAAGGAGGAGAATCTTACTGGGGAAAACCTTTCAAAGATGAATTTAAGCCCAATTTGTCCCACACAGGACGTGGTGTTCTTAGTATGGCCAATTCGGGACCCAACACAAACAAATCGCAGTTGTAAGTAGTCACTTGGGTTTTATGTTTTATTGTTTCCCTCTAGACATTGTGTCTTACTCTATTAAGAAAACAAATGACATTTTACGAGCTACTCTTTAAAGTTCAGTCAAGTGAAATGTTCTGTCGAGTGCTGCGTATTGAAACCACGATAGCTACAGCTGCTCTTACCCAATCGAAATGAAGCACGGCAAAAAGACCTGTGGGTTCATTATATCACCATTAATTTGTCTTTTCTGTTTGATTCAAAATTTATGTTCAGTTTTGTCAGTGTCCCCCCACTGTTATCCCTGTAAGGTCATTACACCTCTCTGGTCTGTTTAAATTTAGCCCCATATTGAAATGGCTTAATGAAATTAAACAAGTATTCTGTGGAAGTGTTGCTTCTTTTTACTTGCCCGATTTTAAATAAATAAGAACAGTTCTGCACTGTGGAAATGTGTAGAACCCAGATGTGGCAGGGTGCAGAAACTGGGATTGAGAATGACTTGATTTTCAGTGTACAAAAGCAGAATGAGGGCTACAATGAGGAAAAAATGAATGAAGAAACAGGAAGATCAACAAATGAAATTTAACAATTTTGAAGTTGTAATAACCTTCTTTATTTGTAACATTAATGCTGGTGTTTGCCTGCAGCCTTTTGAAAATGTTCTGTCACTTTGAGTCAGCTGTTCATTGGTTTCTCTGCAATAGGAAAAACTTTACTTTTGTTGGGAACCCCAGGAAAGAGAGGAGGAGTGTGTATGTACAGTACTGTGTGTTAGGACTAGAGAGGGAGGGGGTTCTTGGTGTTGATCTTCATGATGCTGAGTGTTGTTATGGCTCGTAAACGCTGCAGTAGCGGGGTCAGCTTTAGTTGAACACAAACCCTTGTCTCACAGCCTTCGTTAGGCTTACTCACCTACCTGAAGGTAGCATATGGTGGGCAGTTTGCAGGATGGAGTTGCTATTTTGGATTTAAATGTTAGTGCCAGCACTCAGGTGCTAAACTAGGGGACAGTAGAAGTGCTATTTTTTTTTTTTTTTAAAGAGGAGGTTCTAGAAACAGAAGTTATGGAGACAGTTCATGCATGATGTGCTATATTGAGTCACATCATCTGCTGTTGTAAATGTGATCATATGTTCCCCTAAAATCTGCAAATGAAAGATGAAATTTCTTTATGTGTGAAGTCCTTGAGAGACTCCAGCTGCCCATATTTATACAGCTAACTAGGCAGTGTTTAGACACTTTTGGCAACTCTTGTGACCTTAGGAACTAGGTGAGTAGCTCTCCCCATAGGTGACAGGCATCGCAGTGCGGAGTGAGCTGGGTCCCCTGTGTAAGGTGATACTCGAATAACGCCCAGGATTTCTCCTCTGGGATCATCCTGAGTTATGTTAATTCCATTGTTCTTCATTTTATTTTGACTGCAGTGATGGATGAGAAGCTTTCTCTGTATATTTGCTACTACTCGGGGGTTTTTTATTACAACGCTACGTTACTGACCGCTTGATAATCTGAAGTATTGGATATCTGGGAATAGAGTGGTAAAAAGAAGCCGTGCACAAGGCTAAGTTGTGATGTTTGCCCTGTGTAGGAGTTTGCATTCTGCACGGCATCTCAGAGCTTTCCTAGGGCAAGCTACGTCTTAATAGATCGTCTGGCAGATTGCAGCCCCTCCTGTTTGCAGTCATATAACTTCCTGAGGCAGTTGCTTATATGGAAAACTGCTTTTGGAATGCTTATATATTTTTCACTGTCTCTAATGTAGTGTAACAGATGGAGACAGGGAGGAGAGCCAGCACTACATGTCCAGCCAAGATGGGCCATCGTGGTCTGCAGACCACAGTGTGGAAACCTCTGTCTCATACACTCATCATCCAAGTCTTGCAGAGAAGCTTTAAGCCCTACAGAAAAGTTTTAGTAGTAAAGCTTGCTTTGGATTTGGTATTTTAGTTCCCATGTTTAAAAATACAACCCCCAAAATTAAAAGTCCAGTTAACTGAAAATTAAAAAAACAAGTTTTATAGGTTTTCATTACTTCTGACACTTCGAAATATCCTTCTGCCATGTTTGTATCTGAAGCAGAAATGTGCTCTGTCCAGAGGAGAAGTAGATCACTAACAGCCAATTCAACGAGAGAGAAATGCAAAAAGTTAAATGCCCTAAAAGACAGAAGTTTACATGGGCAGAGACTGTTGTGTTATATAACTGCATTTGCTGGAGACAAGCTCCCAATCATGCACAAGAAATGTACTTTTCGAGCAGCACATCTCTCTGTCCTGCATGAGCTTCTCAGGGCCTGCCTGGCCAAGGAGGCAGTTGTTCAGGTTAATTTTGGTCTTCGTGCAAGTCATCATGCTTGGAGTACCATTTAGGGATGTAAGGTGTAGAAGTAAGTCAAAACTCCAGAAATCCAAGATGAAACCCAGAAAACAGAGGAGCTGAGGGATGTTTGACCAGCAGGCCTCCCACATAGGAGCCAGGGCGGGAGAGGGGCTTGTCATCTCTGAGAGTTTTTGTGTACGCTTTCAGTTTTTAAGCGTTACTGGCTGTCATTGAGTGTCAATGAGATAATGTGCTAACTGCTGTGTCCTTGTTCCTTCCAGCTTCATCACATTCCGCTCTTGTGCGTATCTGGACAAGAAGCATACAGTTTTTGGAAGGTACGTGAAGGATATTAGGAGCATCAGTTTAGTAGATATTCTCTCCTGTGTGTCTGAAGCCTAAAGAAAAGGATCTAGTGACTTTTGCAGTTGAACTGGAGCAAAATCCTAGCTCACAATCCAGTTCTCTTGGTTATGCGTAGGTGGCCAACCTCGCATCAGTGCCAGTCATCAGACTCTGCCGTTTTTTCCGCTTCCATCAATGTAAGTTGCCTTACTTGCCTTCTGTGGGTGGCTCTCCAGGGAGTCATGAACAAAGTAACCATCAGCCCATAACCAACCATGTTAATATTTGTGCATACTAATTGCTAGGACACAAGAGATTACCTCTTCAACACTGCTTTATGCGCTCTCAGACAGGAGATTAGTCACGACAGGGCTCCTCTTCATTGTGGTGTAGGTCGTGGAGTTTCTGCACAGGTTAGGTCCATTTTACTCTATTTTTTTGTTCTTCTTTTCTTTTATTCCTGACAATTATCATCAGTATGAAATGTGTATGTTTGTGTGTGCATGTGTGTACATACGTTAATGTGTACATATATAAATAGTATTATCAGTGCCAGGACAGCAAGATAGATTCATTCTTTTTAAAGAAACCTCTTCCAAAAGTCTTTTCCAGTAAAGCCCTCACATGATAAAGATCAAGGTATTTATTGCAGAAGATATTACAAAATCTTTATGTTACAGTTGGTTCTTTGCTTCCTCTGCTCCAGGTACATGGTACTTACCAAGTCATGAATAGCTGTTCTAACAAATGCCTCCGTGCAAATGGCAGGAAGGGGAATTTTACTCGTCTGCTTTATCGGTAGTTCCTGAGGATTTTACAGTCTTTTAAAATGAAGATTGGTTTTTATTCTTTTCACAGTTTTGTCCGTTTGAAAGGCAGCAATTGAAAATAAATGCATGTGCTGTTTTCTTTGATTGGATGTCATACAATTGTGCTGTACGTTGAAAGTGATATATTTAATCCATCTTCTCTGCATGCAAGCTCTTGAGGCAGAAACTGGCTTCATTTTAAACAATTATAGTAGTGCCATTAGTTCCAATATTGATTCTGCAACAATTGCACCCTTTGAGATATGTTTCTTTTTCCTTTCTCAGGTCTGTCCTATTTTAAAGTTCCCTTGTTGTTTGCTGAAAGCAGATAAATAAAGCAAATTCTAATACTGAAAGCTGAGAGCAACTATAGTCTTGGAGGAGTTAAATTACCCCTATCTTAAGACTATTTCACTTAAACTACAGCCTGATTCCTCCTTGCAAAAATCCCAATAAATCCCATACAGTAATGCTGTTAACCTGAGCTTGCCAACTCATCAAATAGTATTTGGGTTAGGACAGCTCAGCTGAAAAAGTGACTGCTCTTCAGTTCTGGGTGCAGCCTGACTTTGATGAGAACCCTGTTTAGTCCTCTGGTGTCTTTGCCGTGTTTCCCCAGTGTGCTCCACTTCTACC